AATAAAATATTTTTTTTAAATCGAGTCCCCCCAAAGGAGGGACTATGATGAAAGATAGTGGCTCTTGCACATATAGGACACGGCAAACATTACAGGACCCAGAAATGAGATGTATGTTGTTAGTCATGCAATTTCATTTCGTTTTGTCTAAAAATTAATTTAGGAATTCGATGTTATTAAACGTTATATGTGCCAATAAAAACTAAAAGAAGTCTTGAAGAGGACTAAATTTGAGGTCTTAAAGTACAATTATTTTGACCATCGATAGTATACTTGCCGAAAATTAGAAAAATTCTTACCAGTTCAAAAACAACCTTTAAAGAAAAAATGTCGACCATTTTTTCGTCATTTTTTGTTTCCGACCGCCATATTACTTTCCACATGGTCAAAATGAAATTCTGACGACGCCGTCGTGAAGAGCAACCCTCAAAACCTTAGGATACCAAGTTTCGTTGAAATATTTCATGTTTTAGAGTATGAAAAATTATCTTGAAGTCAAGTAAATATTTTGTCCTTCTGCGCGTTAATGGATTAATTAAATCATATTTTTTTGTATTATGTACTCATTTCATTTTCTGATAAAGAGTTTTTTATCATCATATTAAGACATTTGATTTGAGAATGTCAAAACCACAAAGCGATATACACTAGAACTTGTACAAAAAATTTTTCTATCCTTAAAAACGTTTTATAATCCGGTTAAATACAACTTTTAGTGGCTCTATAGGAGGTCCCGGAAAAATTCCAACTGGATCTTATTCTGGATGAACAGACTTACAATTTGAAGAGAGTAGCGACCCATTTGAACGCTTGGAACCTTGCAAAAATCGACCTCAAACTCGAAATTTGGTCATTTTTTCAAATCTGGATTAACCCTTTGAGTCAGCGTAATATACATGTTACACCTTTTGGCTTTTCTTTTCTAGACCGTATTTCGAAGATTTGTTTCATAAATTGTATTTCAACATTTTTTTATAAATCGTATTTCAATTTTTTATAAATTCAATAGTTGGATTTATATTCCGTCACTTCAGAAAACCCTTATTTATGGGTTTTTTAGGATAGAATACGAATTGTAGTGAAAATCAGAATTAATTTGATTTTTGAGTCGCCATATTGTGCTCACCATCTTGGATTTTAATTTTTTTAGAATCTGATAAAAGATTTGAGCGACCTCAAAAATCTATAATTCTATACATTTTTCAGAGATTAAGAGATTAGTCTTTTCTTTTAATTGCGTGGCTCAAAGGGTTAAGCCATTTTTGCATCAAATCAAACGTGTATTAAGGAAAATCGGAACTTTGATTTAAGAATCGTTCACACTAACGATCTCTAAATCTTAATATTTTTTTATAAAAATTTAGGGTTGTACTTTTGGCATGAAATGGAAGCTTTTGAGCTGAGGCTGATTAAAAAAAAATTTTTTTTTCCCTTGTCAGTCTAATATATACTTATATAGTACATATATGGAATATGACACTTTAAGGACAAACGTCCATTTTGAATTACCCTGTATATGCTAATTGTTTGAAATTTCGCTTCAAGGTTACAGATCCAAGGCTCTATATAGTGCTATTAAAGTTCTCATTGCTTATTAAGTTTTTATTAAAAATTTAAATACATTAATAAAGTTCTTTCTCCGCCTTCCAATTAATGTCCTAAAAGTGAAAATGTGTTCACTTTATCTCCTCTAGATAACGAACGAAATGAGTGCTAATGAGGCGCTGGCGCCTTTTGAAACTGAATACACGAGGCTTTACGAATCCTTATACAAAGCCCATAGAAATGAGAAGGAACTATCGGAACAATGCATTTTGCTCAAGGTAAAATTGAATTGCGTCAAGTCGAATGAGAAAATCAAACCTAGTTTTTTCTCTTCTTCTCTCGTATCTTTTTTTATTTAGAGAATTCATTTTCGTTTCCATATATTTCCCATACATGGCAAATGCTTTTTCAGAATGAAATTGTGGATAACACGCATAAGATAAATGAGCTAAAAAAAACAGTGGAAGCTTATCAGGACGATATAGCTCGATTAAAACAGGAAGTCACAAAAACGATGAAATTAGCCGATGCGGAACACGCGCGCGAGCAAAATGCACAGGAGATGATCGAGAATTTGCGACTAAATATTACTAAACTAGGCCTAGAAATCGAGCAAAAGAACAAACTATTAGCAGCCGAGAAAGAGTGAGTCCATCTGTGAATGACAACTAAAAGAGTTTACACACTACAAGATAGAATTCTTAGCAAACACAGAATATAACTTCTATAGAATGCAGAATCTGTACAATAATAATGATTAAATTTACGTATATATTATGTAGCAATTATATCTGTGTTTGCTAAGAATTCTATTTTGTAGTGCGAATCTTTTTAGATATTATATAATAATAACATAATTTTGATACAAAGAAGTTGGGTATTTCGATAATAAGATGGATCCTTAGTTTTTTTATTGTCTTTTTCCTTTTTTGTATTTTTTTCTCACCAAATGATTTAATTAATTTAAGAAATACAAGTAATGGCCATAATGGTCAAAGCTCTTTAATGTTTAAATCTTTAACAAGATCTTTAATGCTTAAATAATTCAATCTGAATTACTATAGGGGAAACCGGGACACACCATGGGTCACGGGGTATCATAGGTCCTAGATTGTTTAATTAATTCGTGATATTGCTACAGTAGTTTAATTGCATTTATAAGTCCGGAAAACAAATTCGGCGCGCAGTTTAAATGATTCTAAATATGATGTATATGGAAATACATATACAAGATGTCCCATTTTAAACAATGCATTAAGATTTCTCGAAAACTATGATAGATACGAAAAAATGTTTCAAACAAATGTTGTATGATTTGGAGGGGAATATAAGAAAGTACCATTAATTTGACCTTGGGTGGCGTCGTTAAGGTTAATTTGATTTTTTTTAATAGAACACCCTACTTTTGATGCCAAAATTTAGTAGCCGGTGTGTTAAGAGCTTTTCAAAACACTATAATAAAGTAACAATAAGATATTATACAATAAATTAAACTAATTAAATTAATTAGATTGTAGGACTCCTCACTCTTAACTCGAACTCATACTAATCAAGAAGCTATTTGGAGTCGGCGCGGTAAACAATGCGTAATATTCAATTATAATAATTCTAAAATTTTAATAATTTAAGATTACAAAAATTTCCGTTTCGGTTATATATTTTATCCATCTTCAGCATATCTTATATATACTTAAAACTATTAATCCTACCGCAGACACAATGAAATTTATGCATTGTTATTACGTCAATGCGATTTTACAATGTTGACAATGTTCCTGGTTCAATGGTGCACAAAGCCTCAGAGAGATGCAGACATGGCAATGCTCCAACTAAGTTACCCGTCATTGGAAAGATTTCTCTATTCTCTATCTGCATGAATTTTATTTGCAATAAATTAGATACCGTTGAACAGCTAAAAAACCAGAAAATTATTTTCCTGCTTACCTCATAGCCTGTGAACCACTACACCATGATAAAAATATGTTTACAAAATCGTCAGTTATTAAAATATGTTTGAAGAAAATTCACTCGTCCGTTGTCTTTCACGTTCAGACGTACATACAATGCGCATAACATTTGTCGTGACAAAAAGCGGGATCACAGATCAACGATGAGAAATGAAAATAAAAATAAAAATAATATAAAGGATGCAGATTCACATTTTGTTCAGAATGTCAATGTAAGTACGATCTAAATGTTCAATATCGGTTTGCAAATTAAGACCGTTGGATTGTTGCTTGATATGTATCATTTCAGACATGATGCGCTTGTTGTAAAAACTCTCAACGTCTAACATACCATACTTACATTGTCGCAGTCAAATGCATAACTGTGATGCAATCTAGGTGTTGTAATAGTATTTTGTCATACTGTTTAATAGTTCTTATGATAAATAGTCTATATCGTCTCTCTCTCTCTCTCTCTCTCCCTCTCTCCCTCTCTCCCTCTCTC